TGGCGTCCCCAGGTTATTTTTGCAGGCAGCAAGGGCAGGAAGCGACACCCCGCAGCTGCTGGCCCCGAGAGGATGCGGTTTCTGCGCCTGCATGGCATGAGGCTCCGTGCAGCAGTAGCTGAGGTCTGGCAGCGAGCTGGCAGCCAGAGCATCGCCCTGTGAGAGCTGGGACCCCTCCGTGGTGGGACGGAGACCCCATGCTCTGGCTGTGGGGTGCGAAGGCAGCCTGGTCCCAGGACTCGCTTTCCCCCAGCATGGGGGTGCAGAGGGGCTGGCAGGGGCCTGGTGGGGCCGGGCACCCTGGCACGAGCTGCCTGTGCAGGCACTTGGTGGGCAGCGTTGACGCCCATGCTGGCCGCAGCAAGCGGCTGGGACAGTGCCACGGGGACGTGGCTCCTGCCTCCCTCTGCACCCAAAGGTCACCCTCCAAACATCTCCCTCTGCTCTTTTCTCCTCCAGCCCGGCCAGGCCATGTGGGCATTTGGCTGGGGCCCTCATCAGAGACTGGTTTAAATAATGACAGTGGGACAAATACCACGGTGCTCCCAGGATGCTGCTGGCAAGTTTTAGCTGTCCTGGTGCCATCTGGGTGATGGGCATGAGCCCGGGCAGGGCCAGCCTGTGCCCACGATTCTGGCAGGAGCTGGGCAGAGGCTGAGCCAGTGCTGGCCAAGGGTGACTGGTCCAGCACGGCTGGCGGTGGTGGGGCTGGGTGATCCTGGGGTGACCTTTCCTTGTCACCCACCATGAGGGTGTTGCTGCAACGCTGCCCCTTGCTACCCCACGCATACCAGAGCCCTGTCCCTTTGGGGACAGCGTGTGACAGCCCCACGGGCAGCAGGGCATCTGTGGGGAGGGCAGCAGGGTTTGCTGTGGGCGAGGAGGGCAGCCAACCTCAGGTGAGGCTGGGAGCCCCTGTGGGATGGGGGGCTGAGCGGGACCGTCCCGCCAAGGCAGCACCATGTGGTGCTGGCAGCACCTCCGGACCCTGCCCACCCCTGCTGACCTCAACACATCTCCATTGCAGTGATCCGAGCAAAGGCCGTCTCTGCGAAAGAGGTGGATTCAGGGAATGATATATATGGGAATCCAATCAAACGAATCCAGTATGAAATCAAGCAGATCAAGGTAACGGGGCACATCGGGGCAGGAGACTGGGGGAACAGGGCAGCCTCTGTGCCAGCTGCTCACTCCTGCTCCTTCTCCCCAGATGTTTAAGGGCCCCGACAAGGACATAGAGTTCATCTACACGGCTCCGTCCACCGCCGTGTGCGGCCGGCTGCTGGACACCGGCGGGAAGAAGGAGTATCTCATCGCAGGTGGGCAGCCGCGAGGGAGGGCTCTTGGGGGACATCGGTTGCAGTGCTGGCCCTGCTGCCTCACATGCCTCCTGAGACGCCTGTGACGTGTGTGTCCACTCCCTGGACACGAGTCCTCCTGCTCCCACCACCAGCCCTTGGTGGACCCCCAGCTGCGTCCTGGCTGTGCTTGGCAGCCCCAGGCTATGGCAGAGGCAGCTGGGGGAACTCTGCTCCCTGGGGTTCACCAGGGACAGTGCATGGCAGGAGGGGCTGGATTGCAGCAGCCTCCAGCTCCCCAGGCCAGGCTGAGCCCCAGGCACCCTGAGTCAACGTCAGGTCCCGGGGTGCCTGGGGGGACCCTCTGAGCGGCGCTGTCTGGCCTCTCCCCAGGCAAGTCAGAGGGCAATGGCAAGATGCACATCACGCTCTGCGACTTGGTCTCCACCTGGGACTCGCTGAGCCCGACCCAGAAGAAGAGCCTAAACCAGCGGTACCAGATGGGCTGCGAGTGCAAGGTGAGCAGCTGGGCTGCCCCTGAGCATGGGCTGTGCCCCACTCCCCATGCCAGTGGGGTCTGCAGCCCCGAGGCAGGCATGGGCTCTGTGGTGAGATGCTCTTCCCTGTCCTTCAAGGATGATGCTGTGCAGGGGGCATGGCACGCGGCTGGGGATACAGGAAGGGCAGCCCG